TATAAGAAAAGAGCGGAGACACAAACGATTTCATGTATAGGAAAAAAAACTCAATCTTAAAAGGAGCTAAAATGATACTGAACTGGATAATATGAGTATCATAAAGGCAAATATAAAACTGGAATTATACAATAATAAGAAAAGTAATGAAAACTCACCAATGACTGGACTAGCAGACAAAAGAAACAGCTAGGAAGACACTCTCCAGGTAGGAGGAAATACATGACTACATGTATATGATGTTAAGTTGTCTCACTGCTGGTCTGCTGGGTAATAATGACTCTGGCATGACAATGTGGCAGCTTTTATATGGGGGAACTTGTGGGCTAAAATAAACAAACGGAGAAAAACAAAAATTCACATTTTGCATTACAGTTTAAGACTTTTTATCCAATTTTAACCCTTAAATTTTTTGGAGGAAGGACATTTAATTGCCCACCGGAAAACGGGCCTGTGTTCAGTCATACATGAAATTATGCAATTAATTTTGGTGTGGACCGAAGCAGGACGGCCATACCAACATACGCAAACGAAGACATTTCATGAAAATGTTCAATTGTAAATTTGGCGGGTACTTTTTGGAGAGTCTACTTTTTTTTGATACACCCTGTAGTTTTGCAATGCGTGTACATGTATGCAGTACATGTACATGCATGAATTGCCTTTATTTTATTTGCATTTGTTTAAAAGAATTTCTTTGAAAAAGATTGCGAAGGACAGAGAGGACATTGTGTTATAGACCAGTGCCATTTAGTAGGGTTGTGTTTATTCACAATCCCAATTATATAAAGTACAGTTAATGCTGTAGTGAATATTATTTCAAATGACTTACCTTCAATGTCTCATTAAGGGGTTTTTATGCGTCGATTACATGTAAGAGGTTACCCTTTGAGTTGTCTGGTTCTAAAAATAACCAGTGATTTAACTAATTCATTTAAATAACTGGTGGAAATGTTTGTCAAACGCGGGTTCTTTTCAAAACTCAAAAGATCTTATTAAATTAGGTTTCACATGATGTCACCGTAACGAAGACTAGTGTAACCGGGGAGAGTGGAATTAGTTAGTTTTTAAAATGTGGCACTCTCCTTATGTCCGAGGGGTTCCACTAAAAAATGATTTGGGTAGAGCGAATGTTTTCTGTTGTCTCACAAATATGAAATGGTTTATTTACAGTACAAATAGAGACAATATATATACAAATTATTAGGTATTTACACAAGAATTATATTAGAAACTTGGTTGGGTGTATAAAAACGACAGTCAAAAGGGAAATGGGCTAATGAAGTAGCTCCAAGGATATTATCTGAAATGCATAAAAACAATAAATGTCTAATGAATTATGGGAATTACTGTGGCATAAAATGACTGTTGCCCAAATGGAGAATTATTTAAATGGAAATTATGCAAGAATATGGATATTTTATGTACATATAATGTAATTTTAAATCCGAAAAATAGAAATGAATTATTCGCCAAGTTATGTTATAAAATGAAATCAGAATATAATACCATGCCCTAATAACAAATTCCCGAATGATCATAGCAATAGAAAACTGATAGTTTTGGGGAAATGGGAAAAGTCTATTTCAAAAGATAAATGAGAACGTAAATATTGTGGCAACACTAAAATTTAAGTTGAAGTTAGCATACTTGTGTTGCTCATAAGTTCCAATTTGTGTTTGTTTCAAAAGGAAAATTTGAAGTTCACAAAAATAAAGTACTTGATAACATTGTTTTCCGAAATGCCGAAAAATATTAAAATAGTAGGAGATTGTGTTAAAATAAATGGACGGTGTTTACCCGAAATGTTTGAAATTATAAAATGTTATGAATCCCATCTTGTGAATACGAGGTTACAACGATAATATTGGCATGGAGCCAGACTAAAATTTGTCAGCGGAAAATGTTTAAGTACAAAAAAACAGTAACTGCGCATGTTCAGTGCATATCCGGTAAACTAACGTTTACTAAAGGTTTGCCGTCTCCGGCAAAATATCCACTGCCTTGTTGTTAGTGTATGCCGCTGTGGCTTTGGGCTTTGGTGCTGCCCATATTGCAACCGGTAAATGCCCAATCGATGGTATCTGGAATAAAAACACGCCTCTGTGGATGTGGCATCAACACAATAATTTGTTTTTATCCAATAAATGGTAAAACAGGGGGCACAGGAATGCAATCACATCATCATCATCATCATCATCATCATCAATCCATCTAATAGCCAATCTTAGTATAGATATGTGGGGGCCTCTTGTCACTTAAGCACACTTAAGCGAGCACATGATGGACAGTACACAGAGGAACTTTCCTTACAAATGTTTTTCCACCACCACCCCTTACATCCGCCAGTTATAGTGCTCCAAGGTTTCAAGAGACTATATAAATTACAAGGATTAAAATGTTCGCAATTTTTAGGATACAGACAGCCTGCTCCTCATATTTATGGGGCAAATGAAACCTTTCAATCCCTTGTTTTTCTATTTTGTTAGGCTAATTTGATACTTGGCGTAGCGCTCTCAAGTGTCACGAGGCTATGATGTGGGAAGTTATTATTTTTGTAATTCAAGTATAATTTTCATTTGTTATTATTGTCACATATCTCATGTTCATGTATTTCATTTATTGTCAAGCATATTGTGTATGTCGTGGCTTTGAGTCTCTGCTGTTGCCCACTAGGGTTTGGTGTTGCCGTTATTAATATAACCATAATAATTTATAATTTGACCGGTTTTCCCTATCATTGGTAATGTGGCTATAAAACACAATGATTTGTGCGTCGCCAGAATTTTTTTGCAGAGGGGCAAAACATTTTCCCCCGATATACCTGGATTTTTCCAGCATATGAACTGAGACTACGCTGGTCGAAATGTGTGGTTTTTTTACATTAAACCCCACTCCCCCCCCCCCCCAAAAAAAACCCCACTTTCTTCAACTGAAATATGCTGTGATTTCTGGGCGACGGAGGCTGCCGGCGTGATGGGCAGACTAATTAAGCTTTGTTTAGGTTGTCGGTACATAGGTAACTGTTGCGGTTGTACTCCTATTGGGAAATTTTAGTGTGTTTTATTTATACATTATTCAATATTTTCCTTTGACAACTCCGATGTTTATGTACCCAAAATGATTTTAAAAAGACTGTGCACACCGGTGAATCATTTATTATTCATTAGTTAAAGAATAATGTAACCAATTGGGTTAAATAGCGAATGTCTGTTCTGTTTGTGCACTATACAATTGACAAGGCCACTTAAGACAAGCTCGAAAAGATCTCGGAAGTTGCGGCTCGATTGTAGACCGTTGTAGCCTATACATCATGTACATGATGTAAAGGTATGTTCTTAAAATTGAAAAGGATTCCTTTTGCTGAACGTCAGTTGGTGCATGGAACGTGTTTGCATGTGGAACAACCAATTTGTGAGCCCCCATGTGAAAATGATTGACCTCGATCGTGCCCCAATTCCACGACTGCAAAAAAAAATTGGTAGCTGGTAAGTGGAGACCTGAAGTACGTGTTGTTGCGAGGGCTAAAGGGACAAGGTGATTGATTGCCAAAGAAGACATGGCTGGCACAAACCATAGAGCTAGCTCTATTTCCCACAGTGGTCTTAGAAATAGATTGAGTACCAATGGCTGCATTACAAAAATGTACACATCGAATCATTGCTCTTTGGATAATATTTTCTAATCTTAAAAATGATTAATATAAATTTAACTCTTATAAAAAAAACACACCATGGTTCGAAAATAACATCGGTTACGTGGAACTGGAAGTAAAATTTATCAGATTTTCGCAAAAGGTATTAAAAAACAGAAGAGCAAAATAAAGGCTCTGCGCATTTGCAATTAAATTGCTCCAGAGCAAGGAACATAGATAATGGTTATGACGCAACACACAGATGCGACGGTCGCGAAAGTCCATCACCGTTTCGGTGATCACATTAAATGCCTCTTTGGCGTTCCTGTTTCGCCAAAAGCGGCATTTAATCGGTGATGGACTTTCGCAATTGGTTATCAAAGCTGCGATGACCAGTCTTGTCCATCACCGATCGCGTAAGTCCATCACCGCTCGTGAATATACATCACCAGTAAAAGTCCATCACCGGTCGCGAAAGTCCATTACCGATCGTGAATATGCATCACCGATTGCAAAAGTGTATCACCGATTCGATAATCACATTAAATGCCTCTTTGGCGTTCCATACTCACCTATAGTTAGCTGTGCAAGCACTGTAATGTGTATTCTTACACTGCTTTGATTATGCAATAATATATGAGCTAACAGCCAAGGTATGTCTCTGAGTATAAATTATTTTATCTTTGAAGGATAAAATATATCAGCACAGGTGAATAATAGTATAGATTTGCTGTCCACATCGGGAACTCGTCACATTGTCAACTACCCCAGCTACTGCTACTTTTTCAACATTACATCGGGATCCACACAGACTGGCACAAAGGGCACATTCGATTGCCAAAGTGCCAAGAACCACCATCAACAACAACAATTTTATGATTAAATTCACAGTATGTTACAGATTATCAAACTGACCATCTCCCAAAGAGGTAAAACAAATCAGTGAGGTCTACTACCGGTAATTATGAACAAAATATTAAACTGCCTGAAAATAAACTTTTAGATCATCCGGTGTCATAATAAATAATTACTCCTATCAACAGAAAAATGCATTGTTTAAATATGTATAATTAAATAACAGTGTAAAAAAAAAAATTACACAACAAATTTCAGAAAGATGTCAAGTTTGTTGCAGTGTTTCTTAAACCCCATTGCAAATTGCAAAGTTATTATATGTCACATATAAATGGGTAATAATGTTGATGAAAGAGGGCGATATAAAGAGGGCCTTAAAGTTTTACACGTCTGGAGGCATCATCTTTAATTTGGACCGCATAGATTTAGGAGAGTACTGAAATGCCCATTCTTGAGTTGCCTATAATTTGTTCTACTTCTTTTATTCTAGATTGCAGCAGTTTCCCAGCAACGGTTTGATGAAAGTAGGGCAGTGAACAGCCGCACCATTTCACTTCATATGATGGTACTGCCAAAGAGATGTGTTAAGTTGAACAGATCAATGCAAAACCAGCACAGAGGTATAAATTTCATTTTTTATCAATACATTTTTTGTAGAGTACAGGATTCCAAGGGCATCAATCCCTTCTAAAAATGGGGGGGGGGGGGGGGGGGGGCAAACAATTTGTGTATTTCCTGAAAGATTCATTTACATGAATTGGGATCCACTCATTTCTTTCTGGATGAAACAGTTCACAAGCTTCATTTGGCAATTTAATGAGTCAGATCTTTTCATCCATTGTGCAAAAAATAATTTCCATCACACATGATTCAATCTTGTGTTTTCTTTATAGTGGGTTTAATTAATTAACTGTTTTGTATACAACGGACTGTTTTTGTTTTTGTAATTTTTTTTCCAACTCATTTTCCATAGGATAAACACATATTTTCATTCTGGAGCCCTCTTTAACCCTTTTTTCCACATCTGATTGACTTCATACTTACTTAGACAACCATGAGATATCTTGCACTGAAACTTTTTCTCATTTTGCCTTATATCTCCAGAAATGTATGTCCGATTAAATTGAAACTTAGTACACAACTATTCCGGGAAGTGTTACACAGAAAAATGGCAGTCATGTGGTGATGACATTATCACGTGATTTTATTGGAATTAATCGAATTTTTGGACCTTTAATTTATATCTCATGAACTAAAAATCAGAATTGTATGACTCTTGACTCGGACTCGGACTCGAGTCCGACTCGGACTCGAGTCCGACTCGGACTCGAGTCCGACTCGAGTCCCATTTCCTGTGACTCGGACTCGGACTGGAGTCACGATGACAAATGACAAAGGACTCGGACTCGACCCAGAGGACTCTGACTTGGACTTGCACTCGAAACTCAACCAAAAATTACCACAAATCACCTGTGTTTTTTTTCAATAATATAATTACAATTTTTGAAGACGATCCTCTCCTGAGCAAGCGTTAGGCCTATAGTTTGTGCGGTGCAGAAGAAACGCATCTTCATACACAGACGTGTGACTTGCTTGTTTCCGATAATATTGTTTTTTTTTTTCAATTAACGTATTGAAAACATTGTACCCCAGCGTCCACAAGCTTGATATTGCGGAAATGCAAGCTTGATAGTGTTGGGTACCAAATCCTTTCCAGACACTGGTGCCTGACCTAAGTTCATTGAATTAGAGAAAAGCTGTAAAAAAATTTACACTGTGAGGTTTTAGCAGCACCTTTCATTTAGTTTCAATATTTATTGGGTTATTTCACACTTAACGAAAATAGAAGTCTAAAAAAAAAAGATATTTAAAACACCTGAACTTTAAATGCAAAAGTTAGGCCAATACCAGTTTTGTCTGAATTGCCTTCATAACTGTTTCTGCAAATGAACTCCTCATTTCGAGAGAAAATTAGAGAAAAGCTGTGGGGGAAAATGGAAATTTACAGCACCTTGAAATGTTCGTATTTCCAATACTACATCAAAGGTGACTCTGAATCTCTGAATTCCCTAAAATGTACATTTTTCAATACAATGTTAGAGTTGACTCGTGACTCAGACTTGGACTCTACATTTGTGACTCGTGACTTGGACTCAGACTTGACTTAAAAAAGCCGAAGGAGTTGACGCCTCGCAACTGGGAAATTGACAGAGAGTCAACTCCTTCACCTCCCGAATAGGTGTGCCGGGGTACACCCTCAATGTAGCCCTTGGAAAGCCATTGGAACCTACAGGATAATCAGTGAGTGAAATTAGACAAAAAATAAAAATAAAATATCAGTCGATCAGTTGTATCAGTCGATGACGTCATCGTGACGTCATTGTATCGGGTCTGCAGAGTGCGAGCTGTTTCCCCCATGTATGGTGTACATGTCATGATGTCATGATGACGTTTTAAAAAACATGATTTTTTAGAAACAAATCTATGCGAATGTACGATAGTTATGAAATTTGGTGGGTAGGTAGGCAATGGTACAAGTAGTCAAAATCTGCAATGACGTCACGATGACGTCATCGACTGATACCGACTGAGCGACTGATATTTATCCATTTGTTTTCTAATTTCACTCACTGATTATCCTGTAGGTTCCAATGGCTTTCCAAGGGCTACATTGAGGGTGTACCCCGGCACACCTATTCGGGAGGTGAAGGAGTTGACTCTCTGTCAATTTCCCAGTTGCGAGGCGTCAACTCCTTCGGCTTTTTAAGCTCGACTCATCAAGCCACTTCCATAGTGTGCTTCTGGCTCCAGCCACTGCCCTACGGCTAAAAAAGTGGAACATTATTAGAACATCAGCCGATCGGAGTGGAGCTTCCAAGGGAAATCTCTCAAAAATATGGATAATGCCATCTGTGAGTAAGCTAAGACATGACGCACACGTAGAAGTGTTCCCTAAACAAGCAGGGTTTCACCATAACAATGAGCCTTTATGTATATGAACTCAACTGTACTGAACCAGAAGGGCTATAAGAAAATGTGTCATGGACAATAATGTTGTTTCTATTTCAGTTTAATGTAGATGACGCTGCTACTAGTGGACGTTCCACCCTGTCCACTGCTCCAGTTGGTCCTGCTACTAGTGGACGTTCCACCCTGTCCACTGCTCCAGTTGGACCTGCTACTAGTGGACGTTCCACCCTGTCCACTGCTCCAGTTGGTCCTGCTACTAGTGGACGTGCCACCCTGTCCACTGCTCCAGTTGGACCTGCTACTAGTGGACGTGCCACCCTGTCTACTGCTCCAGTTGGTTGTGCTACTAGTGGACCTTCCACTCTGTCCACTGCTCCAGACGGCGCTGCTACTAGTGGACATTCCACCTTGTCCACTGCTCCAGATGGCGCTGCTACTAGAAGACGTTCCACCCTGTCCACTGCTTCGGTTGGTCCTGCTACTAGTGGACGTTCCACCCTGTCCACTGCTTCAGATGGCGCTGCTACTAGTGGACGTTCCACCTTGTCCACTGCTCCAGATGGCGCTGCTACTAGAAGACGTTCCACCCTGTCCACTGCTTCGGTTGGTCCTGCTACTAGTGGACGTTCCACCCTGTCCACTGCTTCAGATGGCGGCGCTGCTACTAGTGGACGTTCCACCCTGTCCACTGCTCCAGTTGGTCCTGCTACTAGTGGACGTTCCACCCTGTCCACTGCTCCAGATGGCGCTGCTACTAGTGGACGTGCCACCTTGTCCACTGCTCCAGTTGGTCCTGCTACTAGTGGAAGTTCCACCCTGTCCACTGCTTCAGTTGGTCCTGCTACTAGTCGACCTTCCACGCTGTACACTGCACCAGTTGGTCCTGCTACTAGTTAGATTCACCTGCTTTGCAACAGTTGGTCTTCCTTCCAACGGTCCGGATGGATGTAATGTAAGATGATGTATCAACACACTTTGTTGTAAATGTAGTAAAAAAAGCTGCGTCGCTGTACCACTTTTCGGGCAAACTCCATTCCAGAAACCGTCCAGAGACTGTCTAGGGGTCTAAGTCATTAAGGTCCAAAATCACAACCTGTATTATAGTATCTTTCCAAAGTCAAATTCACGCTCTGGCCTCCTAACCCAAACCATAAACCAGTGTCCACATTGTGACTGTTTTCACACCTCTCCAAAATCACATCTAGAGTTAAGTTATATACACTATTACTATACCTCATAAATATTCCTGAGGCAGCCAAGGCATTCCATTGGTCCAATTCAGCAAGTCATTGCCATGTGATAGTTCTACTGTTTCCCTGCGTCTTCGATAGGGTGTGTGACGCTCAAAAACCAGGGACGTACTACATGTATCACACCTTTAGCTCGACGAATGCGCTTTCCTTTTGGCACATCAAATGCCGTCTGACGGTGCTCCCTTTGTGGTTTTAACCGAGAAAGAGCTGTTGAAATTTTAGACAAAAAGACGCTAAAAATTTATGAGTTATAGTAAAACAATACATGATTTGAACATGATTTTTCATGGAAATAGTGCGGTGTTAGATTGATTGTTTTGCCTTGGGAGATCCAAATCATCCAACACCTTGGGTCATTAGTTTTCATTAAACATCTCACCCACAGATTCTGTGTCCCAATTGGCCAAGAGCCTGCCACATGGTGCTTTGTAATTTTGCTATCTTTCTGTGCACAGCCAAAAGGACTATACTCTAGCAACCAAAGTACTATTTGGGGCACTGTTTGTGCAAATGCATGCTGTTGTGTGCATTGAGTGTTGTGCGTTCGAACATTTCGTGAAGGGGTGGCTTGAAAGCGAGAAAGATATTTTCACCAATTTCGCAATGAAATAGAGGTTCATTTTTACCATATTGAGATTTAAATAGTTACAGAAATTACAACCAAGCAGAGTCTGTGGGGAAGGTGTTATAAAACAAAATACTGACTGCTTTATGGTAAAACAAGCCAGCTCCCTCGGTGATCCATGGAATGTTCTAGTTTCCATCGATCGGCTTCGCCTTGGACACTGAATATGATTTTGGTTTAACCCGCCAGACAGTTGGTTATGATTTTGGCAAGGTGCTAACAGAGGATGTGGACTTGGAAAGTAGGGACCTCATCCTGGATTTGATTTCTGGCTCGGATACATGACCAAGGCTTGTCGTCACATTTCTGGAAAAATCACTCTCAGGCCATTCAGTGTTAAATGAAATGTTGACTATTTTTTAACTTGCCAACAATGATGGGATTTTGAAGGGCTCAATTTACCCTGAAAATTTCTTCTAAATATTGGAAGATGTTATTTTGCCATGTATTGTGTTGCTGTTGCATTGTACTGTATTTTGCTATTGTAGGGATTGTACAGATAAGACCAAAATTGTTAGTGCAATCCCCACAAAAATTATAGATTGTCCTTACTTCACAATCAACTCTAGATCAATGGAGACCTTCTTGAAATTTTCAAGTAATTTCATTTAAAAATCTGATTAACTATTCACTGTAAAGAGGTTGTTTAAAATTTTCTCAAATCTTTTATTTAATATTTCAGGATGCAAGACTTTACGAAGAATGCGAGCAACGCTGTTCATATGAACGGAGACTGGTCTCTGGAGTGGACTCCTATGTGACAGACAATAAGCCACCGTAAGCTTTGCAGTAGCTATTGATTTCAAACTGTAGGGCTGTAGTTGAAACATAAATTAAGTTCAATCCAATAACGTGTGTGTTAGCGCCATGTGAATTAATCCGTTTTGAGTAGTTTAATTTCCAAAAACTTTAACTTCACAGTTTTAACTTCACGCTCCTGCCAACAGTAGCTCTTTATTTTCAGGAAATTGGCTTGACTCTGTGGTCATACATGTACTTGTCATGAATTAGCAATGAGAACATTTTGCAGTGATCGCTGAAGTGTATGGGCAGTAAAGATAATGTTTGATATTGGACTAAAATGTTAATAAACTGATTACAGTGCACATTCTGGACAATTAAGCAAGTACATGGAAAAAATTATCATAAATTCACCGCAGATAAACACCTTACAAATAATGTGATGATAATGTAATGTTCTTTATGCACACATCACAATGTAGTCTGGGTGCAGAAACTGATATTGAATTAGGTTGACAACATTGAAAAAAAAAAATTATAGGAACAAGTTGGCACTGTCAATGAGACACATGTTTATTCTTGCACCGATTAAAGCCAAGTAAGCAACAAAGTATAAATATTATGTAAAAATGAAAAATATTGAGTTACCTTCGGTAAAAAGCTGACATTTTACAAGGTTGATTGACAACAATACATTTACCTTGAGTGTTGACTAATTTAAATTTTGACCCCTTGTGTTGTCGAAACTTCTTTATAAAAGGAAGTTTCTCTCTCTTTTCAACCCAATAAAGTTATTATTTAATACTGACGCCATTTGCCGACAATTTAGACCCCCCCAAAAAAGTCTCTGGTTTCTGGTATGGAGCTTGCCCAAAAAGTGGTGCGGTGACGCGGCTTTTTTTTTTACCTGTTTTTTTGCTTCAAATGTCGGCTGATGACTGCAAATGGTGCCCCGACTATACTTAGTGCAAATATTATGGAGACTGGAGAGGCCACATAAAGCTTATTCTCGATCATAACCCCATCTAAAAACATGTTAAAATTGTGCAGCAGCAGGATTCCAGTCAAACCAGTGAGTTTGGTGGTTTTGAGACATCATCTTTCATTAAAAAAAAAACTTTTTCATTTTGCCGACGCGCATGCCTACGGTGACGCGCTCGCATACCAGAAACCGGAGACTTTTGGGGGGGGGGGGGGCCTTAGCACTTAGCATCAGGATTTTGCAAAATCTATTTTTCCTTTTTTTTTCAGTCGAGAATCATTAGTTGCAATACTACAGCGACTCAAATGCAGTTTTGAAGAGGATGATAAAATTCAACTCACAGTTGAACGTGACCAGGCTTTGGACACTATGCTGGATATCATCATGAAAGCGATATTCACACCGAGCACACTCATTGGAATTACTTTCCGAGGAGAGGACGGTGTTGACGCAGGAGCATTACGGTCTTCATTTTCTGAAGTGGTAAAATCTCAACTAGGAATTTACCAGTGTTCATTGAACAACCAGATGGCCTGCATCTGCAGCTAAATTGATGAGTGTAAGTACATTAAGGGTTATTTATAACAGACATAATAATCACCTGTAGTGTTCCCTAAAGTTTCAAAAACACACATTACTTTCAATTACTAAAAGTTAGTTTAAAGTGAAAATTTAATTGCTGCTAGACATTTTGCATCTAGACAACTTTCAACATATATTTTCTCCTTGGTAAAAATCAAACTCCAGTTGTTTTTAAAAAAGTACCACTTCAACAATCTACTGTCGCCGCTTTTCAACATTTTTTTCAAATGGAAGGTGTCAAGTTAACAAGAACAGTTGTTTGTCGTTGGCATTGGCTAGTAACTAAATTTTGTGAATAGTTCTTTGATAACTGAACAAACACAATTTCTTTAACTTCAGTGTCATTTGAAACTAAAAAATCCTTGCATTGCTCGAAAAATAGCAAATGAAAAAACCTAACTTTATTTTAAGTGAGAAAATTGAATGGAACTGAATTGAAGTGAAGTGAACTGACTGAACTGAATTGAATAGTCATTTTACTACCTAAATAATCTGATCAATCGTTTGATTTCTGGAGGCATGTGCCTAGTGGTTAGGGTCCGTGACGTAGGAACATACATGTAGCGTCATGGGTTCGAATCCTGCTGTTGGCTACTTGTTGTGACCCTGGACAAGTCACTTTACTCCCACTTGCTTCTCTTCACCCAGGAGTGTAAATGGGTACCTGTGAGGGCACCTGAGGGGAGCTGTGCGCCAAATAGCAGCATAGAGCTGTATACTGTATACTAGCAGGGGTAATTATGATGCACAGCGCCTTGAGCACCTAGTCTTGGGATACATTGTATGTGCTCTTTATAAATACCCATTATCATTATTATTATTATTGTTATTTCTATGCAGCACTTGAATCGGAGCAATATGAAGCTGTTGGCAGGCTTATTGGCTATCTACTGGCAGAGGGCAGTGTTCTTCCTAATGTACTAGCCCCAGTCACCTTTGCTTTACTTGCCTATAGTGCAAAGAAAGTGATTTTGTGATGTCACAGACCACAGCCAGAGGATGTTGCTATATGAGGTGAATACATGTTATGTTGTTCAGACAAGTAAGTTAGTTTACAGTGACACCATTAAAGACCTCCTTCTTTGGGAAAATTTTGAGAACCAGAGGGTTTCAATGATTAGGCCAAAAAAAGAATAGTTCTGCTTCCGGTTACCCGACTGACCCTATTTTTAGGCTGCGACCCTAAAATTTTTATCGGCAATTCCAAAAAAAAATATAAAAAAATGATTGAATAAATAAAAATAAAAACCTTATGTCTTGTCTGTCTTCACAAAATACCTCTCAACAACCCTTTTGCATAAAAAAATGCTTGTATTTATTGTTTTCTTACTTACATTCGCTATTTTCAAAAGAAACCTCCGTTATTTTACAAATTCGCTTCGCGATTCAACTACTTCGCAATTCGATGTCTATAATCACGTGCGTAATAAGCGCAATGCGGCGACGACTGGTTCCCGCCGCGCCGCGCAGGGGCCAATGATGAAAATGCAGTAACTAGTCTGTGCACGGCTATGCGATCGATAGCGCTAGCATAGCTATGCAGGCGCAGGCACGTGCTCTGTCAACTGGTCGGATTCGACATCGTAAAAATGCCAAGAAAGACATCGTAAAAATGCCAAAAAACACTGATGGAGAAAGAACATTTTTGCAAGTTAATTCACAGATTTGATCTAGCTTGTCTGTGTATGTGTATTTCCGTGTTCAAGAGTTCATTTTGAGATCGCACTACTCGTATTTGGAGTGATACAATGCAGCGTGTTTCCCGAAATGTTCGACCCGTTGGCCGCGGGCACATGTACATGTACAGTGCATCACACACTTCGGAGTTTTGGCCAGCTCCCCTTCTTGACTAGCGTTGTGCATATGGTGCGAACGACCTAAATTTTCCACAAATTTTTTTATGAATTATCGAACGTAAATATATTGACAATAATTAAGGTAGGTTTTATTCACTTTTTGTGGCCATTTTGTGTATAGCTTTCGTAGTGCAATGGAAATAGTTCAGGCTAAAACTTCGCATATAATTGAATACCCCATTCAATCTGCATAAAAAAAATTGGCAAAAAAAAAAAATTCCGACCGACCGACCCTATTTTGAAAGGCATGTAATCGGAAGCAGAACTATTCTTTTTTTGGCCTTAGAACTATATGCTCTGGCTGTCGTCAGGAGAATGAAGGATCCAATGATGTTGCAAAGTTATCAGTTGGATTCCAACATGAGGCGTGAGATGGTAACCTCATATCATTGTTGGAATCCCTCAGTCTCCTAATAGAGAAAGAAAAGAAAAAAAGAAGAAAAACCTAAAACAATACAATCTAATGGTACCCCAACCCCACCCGAGCCCCCCCCCCCCCAAATAAATAAGCATCAAGTTCTGTTTAAGGTTAATCTGGCCGATCTGTCTGTTGCACATTAATCTGACTGCTTTTTTTCAAAGACATGTATAGTGAAATGGACCAAAAATTAGAGACAATGATAAGCTATTTTGACTGAAGCACTTAAAAACTTGAATGGTTTGTTTCAATTTCAGATCAATCAGGCCAATACAAAGCAGCAGTTGTTGCATGTCATAGAAGAGCACAGCATGTTGCTGACATTGGCAGGTTGTGGCTCTTGCACACTGAACAAGCAGCTGCTAGAAAAGCATCTGACTCATTTCTTTGTTGTTGATTCAAAGCATCGTGCATTTGAACAGTGAGTACCCCATGATAATTCACTGTGTATGCATATGATGTCCCCTTCATCCACCAGATACATCATCATACTAAAGGGAACAGCCACAGCTGACATTAGAAATGAACTGAAACAATGACATCAAAAAATCCATTAAGCCTGCAAATATGAGTTTTCCAGCGGTTGTTCGCATACAATAATTTAAACCACCTCGACTATTTTCAACTATAGCTCTCAAAACTTCCACATTTCCATTAAATTACTATTTGCTTTATGTAACAATGTTCATAAACAAGTGCAAACCTGACAATCTAGTCCCTTTACCTGAGGGTAATTAGTGGGAAAAAAAAAGTGTCCCTTCAATTCACAAGTGGATAAAAATTTCTTCAGCCATTGTTATAATGAGACAAAAAGTCCAGAGGTGGAGCACAGGATAAGCACCATTCATAGATCAGTGGCTATATGAAGAGGAAAGGTGTAATCACCCTTCCCGTTTTTCTCAACACACCTGCTCCCCCCCCAAGGATCTAGAAGGGGCGCTTTTGACATGGCTCCACCATGGGACTTTTTGGTCTCAATAGGATCATTGTCTGTAGAAGTTTCAGTCATTTATGATCGGGCGTGAAATTAGTACTAACCTGCTAGCCAAATGCTAGTCAAAACAGCAGCGGGCCAGTCACATTATTCCTTAAGTAGCTCTATATACAAATGTAATAGGTTTTTCTTTTAAATGTGAGAACGTTTACTTGTAACCCCCCCCCACACACCACCTTTTGAAATAGTTGCCATGGTCTTGTAATGGCAACTTTTTGTTGGCTTAACTTTTAAATCAGTTTCTCTGATAAATTTCAATGTCTATTCAAAGGTTCATGCTTACATAACAACTTCCTGACTTTTACCCAAAAAAATTGGACTTGGATTGAAAATTCTAGTTTGGAAACATAATGAATTGACTACCCAATCGTTATGTGAAGCATACATTGACAAGCCCTCAAATTAACATTTCATGTGCAGGCATCCACTTTAGAAAATGTTGTTAGGACTTGAAAGCAGGCTCGAAAAGTATTGCTCCCTGGGCTGCTGTGGACATGTTGATAACTTTTCAACCCAATAATGATAACCTTTTCTCTCTCAGGATGAGGAAAGGACTGCAGTGGGGCGCTGATATTAGAAGACATCATGGCCAATCCTAAGAGGATGGCAGATGCCCTAGTTTACACACCCCACTTCACTGGACGCATCATGTCTGCTGGCGTTGATGGATGTTCACTTTTCCTCTGACATTCAGAGGAGGAAGAAGGAGGAAAAAGTCATGACTGTCTTGGAGATGTACCTCCATGACTTAGAAGGTAATTTTTCAGTTTGAAATTGCAGGTTTTTAGATACGTCCGAACATAATATTTATGCTGAAGTCATATTTTAAGGGCCAAAGCAAGGCTCTAGGCAGTA